TCTCATTATGGCCCCGGCCCCTGAAAAGTAAATCCTGACTACACCGACGAAACTAAGAAAACACAAGACAGTTTGAATTATCAAGTAATATCATACAGCCCTGGTTTTCTTCCTTAATCTACTCTATAGAAATATAACCAATCCCTTCAGTTAAGCAAATCAATAATAACACTTCAGTAAAGGATATAGAAGCAGAAACACAAAGCTCATAGTACAAAACAACCATTCAAATGTCAAGTTGCACAACTAACAAAAAGAACAAAATCTGGTCTCGCCCTCACTTTCTTGGAGTCACTTCAATTTCAACAAACAATTTAACTTTATAAAACAACTAACTTTTCAAAGCCTAATGTAAGATCATTTTTCCTCGATATTCACAATTCCCTCAAAGTTTATATAACTGCTCAGGCTCAAATTAACAAATAAGAAATCCTCAATTTCCACATTCCCTTCACTCTCTTCTAAATTAAACCCAGATTCTGTCTTGCCAAGAATCCTTCTTTTCTATCAAGATCATCAACCACGCTACGGTCTAGTCAACAAGCCTCAAAGGTCACCATTCTTGCGTGCCATTTTAATTAACATGAGCACCAAATAGAAAAAATAAAAATCATTTCTTTTTTTATAGTAGTATGTAAAAATTCTTATAATTTTCACGCTTCAAGAAAAGAAAAAAAGGGTTGCTGGACGGTTGAAAGCTCCTTTTGTCAATTTTGCCAGAACAGGGAAAAAACCAACATGATTAGAAGCAATTATAGAGAAATGTAGAAGAGAAAAGGCAAGAAATAAAACCTCAAGAAGTGATCCAACAGCAGCGAATGGATTTGGGAATTGAGAACAGTATCTCGCGAATGAAACAAAACCCAGAAAGAAAGCAACAAAAAGGCTATATTTTGGGCGTGAATTCTAGAGGAAATAAGGGATCATTAAAGTAAGGAGAGAAGGGTCTTTGAGCAGAGAATTATGCATACTTGCTTTAACCAAGAAAACAACAAGCTACAGAAAAGAAGCTTGCCAGTGGCTGTTTCGCAGTTCCTTCAATGTTTTTGGTTTGGTTTTAGTATCGTTCAATAGGCTGACCATTTTTTCTGGTTCGGTGAACTACAAGGCAAGCTGCCCCACAGCTTTGCTTTCGTTCTGGTTCACATGGTTAACGACAGGTCGTTTGTCTTAGTTTGAAACTTGGAAGTTTAGTGACCGTTTCCTGGCTGTACGGTTGTGTTTGATACGACGTGTATCTCATTCAGGAGCTTGCAGGTTCCTTCTTGATGACTGCTGGCGATGTGGACGCTGGCCACCTTTTTTATTTTCTTACTCTTGACGAAGAGACGACCCGATACACTGATCAGGTCACGAGTCAGCAAAGTTGACGCGGGTCAACTTAAAAAACTGAAGAAAAAATGAATGGATCCGCCGCGATGCTTTAATATTATGGGCATATTACAGCTGTTATGGGGCTTATAGGATTAGGCTTCCACACTTCCCATTATTTACCTCCACAACCTGGGCTTTATAAGCCCTGGTAGAGTCTATATTATCAACAAAAATTCAGAGAGACCATTTCTAAAATATGTGACAGTAAGAACCAGCCAACTCGTGTCGTTTGAATCTAGTTCACCAGAAAAAGGAGAACCCAGCAACATTTTTTCAATGATTTAATAAAGAAGGCTAGAAAAAAATAAATTATAAGATGAACATATGATGAATTTTGTTATTATTATAAATGTGCGTGGTAGTATATTTCCTTTAAAGCTGAATTGAGAGACTACTTTTGTGAATCACGATAGTAGTTTTAATCGCGGTGGTGGTGTAATTATATCACGTGACATGTTTTAAAACTCGAATACCTGAAAACATCTGTACATTACATTTTATATGTTAACAAGGAATTAGGGTTTTATTATAAATACCAACACGAAAAAATATGGATTGGGATATATTTTTTTTGTTTGGAGTAAAAATCAATGGCCTAGCTATTAAGGGTAGAATATTTTTTTCCTCGTAATCAATTGATAATTGCTGGATTTATTAGGATAGCTCAATCTTTTTATATGTTTAAAATATAGTAAAAATGATTGAATTACACTCAGAAATACAATCTTAAAACAATGTCTAGGGTTTTTTAATAAAAAAATCACTTTTTGAAATATGGCAAAATGATTGAACTGGATCTAGGTTTTTTATTGGTATTTTAAATTTATTTTTTTAATTATAATCAAGTGAATAAGAGATAATTTAATATTTTAAAAAATAAAAAATACCATTTAAAATTTAAAAGTGGTACATGATAGAGTATGAGATATGTCACACCTTCATGCAGCATTTCTCTGTGAATATACATTCAATTCCATAATGATGTTGGGAGTGACACATCGAGCTCTTCCAAGTTATGGGGTGTGTGTTGGTGAAAGATCAATAATGCAACTCAAATAGACTATTTTCTTCTTTTTCTCTTTCTCTTTCTCTATCTTCTCATCTCGGGTGTTTGTTTACGTGGTAGCTTTAACTTTTAAAGCAAACCGAGTAAATCACACATTTGGTAACATGTAAATAGTAGTTTATTGTTTGGTGGGTTTCGTAAATTTTTGCATCAAACCAGCGTTTTACACAAGCAGCTAGAAACTGCTTCTCTTGTAATTCACATGGACACTGTTTCATAACAGTGTTCATGCTAAGTGATGTCGGGTGAATTATAATTCATTCGTAAGAAGCATTCACCTGGCATTGTTCACATAAACAGTGCTAGGTGAATTTTTGGCATTATTCACGCGAGTAAAAGTTATTGGACCGGGTCCAACCTGGTAAAAAAATATTTTTTAAAATTATATTTTATTCAAAAAATAATGTTTAATATTTTTTAATAACACCATATAAAGTAGAAAAATATTGCATGATGACGTAGTATTTGTGAAATTTGATCGCAATTCCAATTCTGTTTCTGATGATATTTTATTTGATTTTGTTGCACACTCAAAAAACCATTGGAACTATAGTCCTTATCAGATGAATTTCATATGTGATGAAAACATGTTGAGTAAAAATTGCTAGACTGCGTCCGACCTGGTAAAAAAAAAATTAAAATTGTGTTTTATTCAAAAAATAATGTTTAATATTATTTAATAACATTGCATAAAGTAGAAGAACATTGCATGATGACGTAGCATTTGTGAAATTTGATTGCAATTCTAATTTTATTCCTGATGATATTTTATCTGATTTTGTTACATACTCAAAAAATCATGAAAACTATAGTCCTTATTAGACGAGTTTCCTACGTGATAAAATTATAAATAATTTAATGGAATAATAAAAAGTATTCAATATAAAACATTATTTACTTAATAATGCAATAATGGTAGTTAAATCTACAATATTTAAATTAAAAACCATCAAAATATACATACATACATACATATATACATACATATATTATGTTGTAACCTTAATTTGAAAAGCAGATTTAATCAAACACATTAAATAACTTTTTATTCAACTTCAATTTCAACCACAGTTTCAACCAAATATATATAAATACCAAATCAATCTCGATCAAAAATATTTTTTATAATTTTTTTTTTTCAAGCCACAACCACATTAGTTATCATAATACCAAATACATTTCAAGGGAGTGTGATTATAATTATTTTTTAAAGTGTTTTTCTCTTAAAAATACATTAAAATAAATTTTTTATTTTTAAAATTTATTTTTGTTATCGATATATTAAAATGGTAAAAAAATACTAAAAAAACATAAAGAAAAAAATAAAATTTGATAAAAAAAACATGTTGAAACTCAATCTTAAACACCATTTAAATATGTCTTGTCAATATGTATTTATATTAATTTTAATTTTAATTTTTTTATTGCTATTTTTTTTTTGCTTTTAGTATTTTTTAAAGTTGATTTTATTTTTTAATCTTATCTACTGACATTATATTCTACAAGGTTTTTCTATTCAATTTAAACATTCCTTTGACTTATATTTTTTTATCCCTTTCTTGATTTATTTTATTTTTTAATTTTATTTTTCATAATTTTATTTTATTTATTTTTTATACTAGATTTTTATAAAAAGATCTTTGTAAATCAATTCATTAAAATAATATTCCAGCCATTTATCAATCATGCCATTGTTTTTTTTAAGGATTCTAGGGTTTTATAATGGTTATATTATTGGTTATTTTTATAAATTATTATCTATTAGCCTAATATACAAAGCTTTTAAATTAATTTACCCATTAATATTTAATGACTGTAGTATATATTTTTAATTTCCATGGTAATTTTTTTAAATCCTTTATATTTTTTTCCATATAGATGCTCCAAGAAATGATCAATTCATGATTTTTTAATTTTTCAACCAAATTTTTCTTTTACTATTATAATAAGTCTTTACTTAGAAACAATATTTTTCATAGAAAGTATTTTTTTTATCAGAGTAAAAAAATGCATAAATAAAAAAACAGATTTTTGATTAAAAATATATGTTTTTTCCTTTTTTATTTTAAATTATCATATTATTTTGTGATTATTTTTATAATTTCTTTTATTTTCAATCAGTGTACTATGCTGATGATAAAAAAATCATCTTGTTATTAAAAAAACTACACAAATCAGAAAAAAAAATTTGATAAAAAAATTTCTTCTCCGTGACTTTGTCTGTTATTTTTCCATAAATATTATTTTTTATTATTCTATAATTAAATAAAAAAATATTTTAAAAAAACTTCTGGCGAAAACCTGCGGGAAGCATCACTGGTACGAATCTATTAAATACACAGATAACATTAATCAAGAAAAAATAATTTCGTAACGTGTAACAACAACGGCCGAAGGGCAGCTTTATCCCACTATTTAAAACGGGCTCCGCCATAACTTCAATATTAGTGAACTGCCCCCAAGAAAAATACTTCACTAGGGCCCAAAACGGCCCATATAGCGGGTCCCCCTTTTCGCTATAGGCCACTGACCATTGACTATCGAGCCCAAACTAGAGCACCGAAAAACGCTCTCCAGAGTTCCCTCTCTTTACACTCTCCCTCCATCATCCCTTTGCTTGCCTTTTTTTTTTTGTGTCCCCCACAATAAAAATCAAACCGAAAAACCCCACGCTGCTCTCTCTCTCTCTCTCGGATTCTTTGCCACTCTCTCACTCACTCACTAAGAAGTGCGGAAGAAAGGAGGAAGCAAAAAATGATTTTGAATTTGATTTTCTGGATCCTCTGTTTACTCATCAACTTCGGCCTCCTCGCCATCGTCTTCTACGCGGTATTCACTATACTCTCCTTCTATTCTTCTAAACAAGCCCTAACTCCATTTCATTCCTTGTTTCCTGTTTTTTTTTTCCATTCTATTTGTTCGCTATAATTAATCTTGCCAGAAATTCATGCGAAAAGTAATTATTATTGATGCTAAAGTTCATGTACATTATGCACAATTTGAATTTTGAATTATTATTATTATATACTTCAGTATTCTCTAATATTATTTATTTATTTATTACCTTTTTTAGATGCTAATGGTACTATTTATTGAACTTGTTTGATTTTTTTTTTATATTTATTTTTTGTGTGTTTGAGATTTTTAGCTTTTATGCTTAACGGACTTGGAGGTTGACCAAATGGATCCGTTCGTGGCGACGGCTAACATCAACAGGTGGATACTGCCTGAGTTTGTTTTGCAAGCTGTACTCAGCCTTCTTTTGCTCTTGACAGGCCACTGGATCTTGTTTTTGTTGGCAGTTCCTCTTACCTGCTATCATGCTATGCTGTAAGTGTACTTCTCAATATACTCTCTGTAGTTTCCTTAGCAAGCTGCTGATCTTTCTTCCGTAGCATTTGTTTGTCGCTTTCTATCCAATTCTATGTTTCAATCAACGTGCATTTGTTTTGCATTGTTAAACTGCAACAAACGGCTTCATCTTTGTTCTGACTAAGAATTTGGTATGTACTCTTGCTTTGCTTGGGGATATGTTATGGAAGCAGCAGCTTCCCTGTGATATGCCGGTGAATTTTAAAAGTAGATAATACATATACCAAATGCACTAAACCAAAAATATTGATGAAAAGTAAAAAGCTTAAAATCTTTTTTATACCCGGGATGTAACTTGAAAATGCCATTTGAACTATGGCATAACATCTTGCCCTTAATAATGCATTTGAACTTCTTTTCCTGACTTCTCCTAGTAATTAGTAAACCTTGTAAAATGAAGGCTAGGCCTTTCCTGTTTCCATAAGTTTTAATATGCGATTTGTAATGACTATATTTTCATTGTTGCTTTGCGCTGTTCAAGTAGTAGGAATTCATGTTCCTGGATCACCAGATGCCTAACATAAACCATTACCCCGAAGACATTTCTTTTATTGTTTCACACAGAGTTTGTTGATTGTTTGATAATGATGATTAAAAGATAGTCCTCTTGTACCCTGCACCCGCTCTGCACATCTGATTCTGCCTCGTAAATGTCCTTATCTTAGATCTGGCTCTTTGGATCAAAGATTTTGGTTCTTCCAAATCTATTAATCCTTTTCTGTTTGCCAACTATCAGAGTGCGTGTTATCCAAAATCTTTATGGTTGTATTTAACCTTTTTAAATATTAAGAGAAAACAGCAAAGCTCCTTTGCCGTCAGAGAATCATCAACCTCTCAAAAGAATCAGCTACTTTTATTTAATGTGTCCTCCTGAAGTGCTCGAGCACTGATTTATAAGAGCAGTGTGTCTACCAATTTCATCATAGTGACTCCTTCAAAATTAGAACAACCTATTTGCAATCAATTAATTGGTAAAAAAGAAGAAGAGTTGTTTTCGTATCATTTTACTTTCTCTAGTGTTTTTTTTTCCTGAAAGAATAATTAGCAGCTTTGAAAAATCTTAATTATCAATTTTGTCTTCTGATCGCACATTAGATATCTAGCAACATGATATGTGTTACTGCTAGAAAATAAACCAATGGGAATATTGTTCATTAAAAAAAAAGACGTGTTACCACTCTTGCATTTGAAAAAAAAATGATATATCAACCTTGGTGGAGCCAATTATATTTGTTTAGTCATGTCAAAATTTGTAAATATTATGATTCTTGCTGTTCAAATGCAATGATTGGCAAAAAGAAAGTGAAAGGTCCCCATTGAGGTTCCTACCCATATTAATTACAAATGTGTTTGGTATATGCTCTCCATGCTTGTGTGTAAAATATATGTATTCTTCCACAATACTGCAGGTTTATTAGACGGCAACATCTTATTGATGTCACTGAAGTTTTCCGAAATCTCAACACTGACAAGAAGCGTAGGATGATCAAGCTTGGTGTATACATGATCTTCTTCACAATTTTTATATTTAGGTTTGTTCTGACCTCAGTACATAACTATCCTAGTTTCTCATCAAGTATGTATTTCTCTTATTTCTTTGTCTGATATAGGTTTTTTATTCTGTTTGGGTATAGAATTGGTGCAGGAATCTTAGCACTATTCAAATCTGAAGACTTAGATATCCGCTCATCTTTTTTTGAGTTCTAGAAACTTACCATTATATGCTTGGATGGTTAATTCTTTTTAGTGCTTTGAAATAGGATAGCAATTAATCATGAGTGCTCCCAGGTTTATGTTTTTGTAGTTTTGCTTTTTTTCAGAAAAAAGTAATGCTGGCATAAAGTGTTTTATTCTATTTTTTTTTCTGTACCATTTCTTTTTCTACACTTTACATACAATTGTGCATAAAATTGATAATAGCTTTCCTCTTGTACAGTAAGTAGTTCATGTACTATATATAATGAAGAAGGCAGTTCCATTTGTGAAGTATCTTAAGTTCCTACTTTAGCCAAATCACTTACTATCATTGTTAAAACATTGACATAATAGTTCAGGGCACTTGATGCTGCTATGTAGACTTTTCCCTTTGAGCTCTCCTTGGTCATGCTTTGGTAAGAGGCTAGGATTGTATATCAACGGTTTTGTAATTGATACATTGATAAACATCTCATATGCAGTAGAGGACATAAGCATGTTAAGGGCATGTAATATGCATTTGATGGTAATCTGTTTTTGGCTTTGATTTTTCACTAGATAACCGTGATTGTATATTAATAGATGACATGATTAAAAAGGAGTATTTTAACCTCACATCAGAATATTTAAAAAACCATTACAAGTGGCATTTATGAACCACGCTGTGGTTTTGTGCCCTCGTTTGGCAAGATTAGCCATGTGAGTGGGTCTGATCAGTCATTGTGAAATGCTATGAGTGTTGTGGATCTGACCATGTTCAAAGGTTTTATGTATTGGAAAGGCTTACCTATTACCAAGCTTTTTAGAATATCTAAGAATATTGAAAACATTCAGATTCAGATACTCGATATTAAGGAACTCAAAATTGCTTGTGTCTGATGTGGCTTAACTTGTAGCAATAGGGTGTAAGCCTCATGTTCTGGTGAGGTTTTAGGAGGGAGGGGGTATTTGCAAGGTGTAGGATTTAAAGGTGAGTACAACAGGGCCAATCAGGATATGATACGGCCTCCAGGATCCATCTTGGGGGTGTAGCGTGCATCTGAGCTGGCATGTTATGTTTGAATAAGAGGGTGTTCTCTCTTTAACTACAGTTTCCATTTTTTTTTCTCTTAGTAAACCTGTTTGCAAGGTTCTCTTTTACTTGCTTTAGGTTCCAAGATATTTGCTGACTATTTTGAATTTCACGTGGATTCTGTGGGAAGGCTTTTCCTTTGTGAAGGGGTGGGGGGTACTATTTTGTGTCCATTTAACCATGGACTGTAGTTCTCTGCCTTTCTGAAGGACCTTGGGCTCTCTCCCCCCTATGCTTACAATAAATTCTTCTTGCAGGGTTGTGTTGTTCGCTGTCAACCATATACTAAATGATGATGACGATGACATTGATTCATTTTGATTAGTACTTGAAGGGTTTTAGCTGAACATTGTAAGTGGGTTTTACATCTCTGATCCATACAAAAAACAAGGAAATCTTCATGTTAAAAGGAACATCTAACTGTTTTCAATTTGGTTAGTTTTAACGTGTAATATGCTTATTGATTCATTTTAAGCTGAGCTTTACAATTAGGTAGTTCCCACGAAGGTGTCAGCCTATCACATAAAAAGAAAAGAAAAAAAGAAAAGAAATGAACAGGCATCAGCCAACATTGATGGATGTGTCACTTAGTTTTCAAGTATATAATGACCTGCATTTGAGTTCTCTGTCTTTCTTGATCGAATACCTTCTTTAAATGTCTTTTATCAGATTAATATACATGTGTGGATTTTTCACAGTTACCTGCACGAACATACAGATAGTGTGCAGTCCCTTTGCTGCCGTTGTGGGAGTCAAATGTGTATGAATTAGGTTGGCGGTGAAAATTTTAAATTATATTTGCCTTTACTGCCTTTACCAATTTGGCAGAACTCTGCTACATATGATATGTTGAAATATGTTGTTGGGGCGAGGCCTAAAATCATGATTACGCTATAAAACCTTTCCTATCATTCACTTGCATGTTTGAAGCCATTCTTTCTTTCTTTCTTCTTCTTCTTTTCCTTTTTAAGGTAAAGAGTATTCTCGGGCTAGCTCATGCGTTAATCTAGAGGAAGTTACCTTTTTAAGAACACATCTTTACATCGGTATGGTGCATGCAGGAGAATAAATTACCCTATATCGGTATGGTGCGTACAGGAGAATAAATTACGGTGTTGATCCTAAGATTTACTCAGGAAGCACGTAATTATTTCCATGGTTTATTCTACATTTAGGTGGGGCATTAATTGATTCGAGATCTCAATGCCTAAAGAGTAATATGTAAATTAGAGCTGCTCCCTGAAGTCTTACCACAAATAGGGCTTTACTCCTTAGGAACAGTCATCTTTAGGCCAGCACAAGTTTGTTTGCTGAACAAGTTTGAGCTGAGCCTATAGTTATAACTCTAAGTTGAACTTAAAGCTCCAGCTAGCAAACTAGTCGAACCCAAGTGGAGCTTCAGGTTTGAGTGGATTTTTTTCAGACTGTATGGAGCCCAGCTCGAGGGACTAGTACTGGAGTCTTGATTTTGTAATTGAAGCTCCTTTCTAATCTATATATCAATCCCAGGCTTAGGATGTTGTGAGCTGGCCCTTGGAGAGGCTATTAAAAACGCAGTAAAATTTGGTTATTAGCACAAAAATTTTAAAATTTTAAAGAAATAACACAGCTGTCACATAAAATCTTTTGGCAAAATGTACTTGTGGTTGCAGAATGCAACATCTAAAAAAAGTTATGATTGAGAGATGCATTATTAAATAAATATTGCAATTCTGAATCTTACAGGTTGAAAATTGTCGAGGGAGAAGGGAGGTTGAGGTTTAATTTTGAATCATGACGGTGTAAGTTGTATAAGATAAATTTTCACAATTATGATAAGATAAATTTCACGTTTAACCATGGCATCTATAAAATATTGTATTTTTGAATTGCGACAGTTTTAAATAGTTTTATTTAACTATATGTTTTTTTGATTATGCTGTTCTGTCAATATCTTTAATTTTCTGTTCCAATTAAAAAAAAAAAATCAATCCTAAATTTTTAAATGCATGTAAGGTGGGTCTGAAACTGATCATGGCGTCACGGGTCCACTTTCCTTCCATAAGCGTATTATCCCCGACATACTGTAGGCAGCTTGACAGCTGCTTGCCCTTTATACAACAAAATAGATACTGATAATTGATGATTGGGCCCATATGAGAGCATTATGGAGGCCCATGGGGCCCATTTTCTGCCCTTTCTCAGTCGGGTCCCAGTCCCGATGCGAAAATTTTAACCACCTTGATGGGTTGACCCTACACCAAAACATCACAGAACAACTGGTCCGTGACCTTTGGTGGTGTAATTTTCAGGCCCTGGACTTGATGCCGTTGTCTTCCATGCGGGCCAAGCATGATTAAGCTCTGTTTGAGCTACAACCACTGGCTTCTTATTTCAGATGAGTTACTTTCAAAGTGGGCCAATAATGGGAACAAGATCTGACCATCCAATGTACCAGCCTTATCTGTAATAATTAATTTTTCGGGCTTTGTGGGAAACTGGAAACCAGTGGGTGGAGCCCAATAATTTCCTTCTGTTTTTTGCTGTTTGGGAAAATGTCTTCTGTGCTCAAGGTTTCACCACAGGCTCTGCTCTCAATATGTCACCCGCAGCATCTTGTCGTGAAGATTGTGGTATCTTTCATTTAAAGATTGCAGTGTGTTGCTAACGCGTTGACCTTGTCCACAGTTTCATGATCTACTCATGAAATTCGAGCATAAATAATATCTCAGCGAATCACTTGCCAATGAGTCAATGATTTATTAATTAAAGAAGAAGAAGAAGAAGTTGGATATTGCTTCACCTCGTCAAGGACTTTGATGTTGAAACCTATGGAAATGCTCGGATTACAATTATTTGCCCCCAAGATTATATCAAGTACGAATGTATAATTAGCTGGTTCCAACCAGCAAAATGTGAAGATTTACAGCGGTGTCCTAATCATTATTCATGAGGAGGAACCCTATCCAAAGATTAGGTGTTACTATCATTAGAGACATAACCTTTCATCACTTGATGTTGATTTCTTGTATCGCACCATAAACTTCACACTCCCACCTCTTTTAACTCTTGATTGTGAAAAATATTCAGGTCTATAAAACCATGGTCATTCGGTCCACTTGAGATTAAAATTAAAGTGGATTCCAATTTTTTTTTAGGTTAAAACTAACTTTGTTAAACAAATGTTCTTTAATGTAAGTTTGTTAACATGATTAAAATAAATTATGCATAAATAAGAAATTATTTTTAAGAAACTTTTATTTGATTTTTTTTTTAAACCCAAAACACCATCCCATGTATAGGAAAAAAGAAGAAGATTATCTTGTAACTTGTATGGTAGGAAGTTATAGGATCATAAATGAGCATAAACAAAGTAGTATGAGTTTAACTACTATGCGTGCTCGGCATAAATGAGCATAAATAAAGTAGTATGAGTTTAACTGCTATACGTGCTCGGCTCGAGCACAAGCTTGGGCCATAAGTATGAGTTTTTAATTTATTAATGTATTTTAAACTTGAATTTGAGTTTATTATAAAGATTTGAGGAGAGAAGAGAAACAAGTATGACTTTTAAATTTATTAATATTTTTATTAGTGTTTTTGTCTGTAATATCAATTTGAAACTTTTAATTTAATAAATTTTTTTCAAAAATCCACCAAATACTACCAATGATTTTTTTATTCATTGATGATTTTATCTGAAAGGAACAGTAATTAACAGAACAATTGATAAGTGAATGGTTCTTAAGCTTTTGGAAAAATACTGATATATATATTAATCATTTATGATACTGTATGTAATGAACAACATGAACAATACAATTAAGAAGTGAACAATTTCAAAAGCTCTTGGAAAAATACGGTAAACTTACTCCATCGGTGATACCTCCTGTATTTAACATAATTAATAGTACCATAGAGAAGGGAATAGTTCCAATTTTATCTAGAATATATTGATAGATTTATTCTGTCGATGTATCTGTTTACATTCTACACTCTATTAGTGTTTTCATCAATGTAAAACAATTTATGTTGCCAAATTATATATGTATTTCTTATATATCCATTCTATAAATACTTTAAATTATAGCAGCACACTCAGTACAATAACATCAATTTTGTGTATAATAATAAATCATATAAAATAAATATTTTCTTTTCATTTAATAACAAATTAATATAATTGTCATTAAATTAAAGTTATTTTATACATAAATATTACATTATAATTTATAGCATTACAAATTAATTGGAAATAACCATTTCAAGTGAAAATGACGTCATTTCAAAACAAACTATTTATCTCCTTTATCCTACTGATTCATCAAAAACGACAATAAATCATGGTCACGTCTTTATCCAATATTTCTTTCCCACAATGTGCCATTAATAGTCCACTAATGGGTACCTTTTTTTTTTTTTTTTCTTAAGCATGATTAAACCATGCTAATCTCCACATTATCCGAGGAAAGATGAAAGGGCATTCTCTTGCTTTATAAAGACCACAACACACAAATATATTGGTGGAGGATATAGCCACAAAGAAGATAGAGAGACTTATGACCTTTCTCCACCAAAAGTGAACTTCAACTTCCCTTCACCGCAGGTTGTTGATCCAACCAACCAAATACAAACCTGAAGAAACTAGAAAAACAAAAAGAGAAGAATACACACTGAGAGAATAAAAAAAAAGACAAAACCTAAAAAGTAAAACAGAAAAACAAAAAGAGAAGAATACACATTGAGAGAATAATAAAAAAAAAAGACAAAACCTAAAAAGTAAAAAAAAAAAAAGGAGGAAGAGAAAATAACAGCAAAATAGAAGAAAATATTCGGTATTGATTTATCCGATCCAATAAAAAAACAAAAAGACTTCCCCTCCACTAATATGTATAAATATTATGTCCATACAATAAATTTTTATAGAAAAAAGCTATAAAACAAGTAAACACTTAACGAAAATACATACACTATAAAAATATATAATAAAAAAACTAACATTTTAAATTGAGTTCAAATAAAAAAAGGATAGTTTTTCTTACTTGAAGTGGAAAATTCTCAATAGAATTTGAATCAGAATATAGATGCTGACAAATTGAGTGTTTGAGTGACTATATTTGTAATGGGAGGTTGATTTATGATAATATGGAGGGGTGTCTGTTGTTTATTGTAAAGAAAAATAGAGGAAGAAGAAGAAATAGGAGAGAGAGGAGGATTGCTCATCAGGTTATAAATTAAATATTATAAACAGATTTACTGATTGATTAATTTC